TCATTTCCTTTGATAAGGATTTGATGATAGACTTTTAGGTTGAAACCTATGCATGACAACATCTAGGAGTTCCCTGTTCAAACCTCAACCATAGGATGAATCCATGGCATGATAACAATAGGACTTGATAGTCTCCCTCCTAGTTGAGCTTTTTCCTGTAGTTTCCCGAACTACGTTTGCTCTGATCTTTCATATCAGATGAAAGTACGTAGGCATAGGATGCGATGTCCTAGCGAGCAACCTTCCCCATCCTCCCCCGTAGTTAGCCGAACTACGTTGACTCTGATTTCTCATTCTCTGATGGGAATACGTAGGCATAAAGCGCGATGCTTTGCCGAGTCATTTTTCTTTTCTTTTTCAGCCAGCCTTGATAGGTAGATAGATTATAACCAACCCGTCCAAGTAAACAAACAAGCGAGGATCCCGTCGAGTACGACGGACGTGAGGGGTGCTAATACCTTCCCCTTGCGTAACCGACTCCCGAACCCAGACAATGGTTGCGACGACCTTGTCTTACCCTTTTTCGTCAGGTTTCTCCGATCGTTTCCTTTCCCGCTCTGAGGGATAAATAACGAAAGGTGGCGACTCTTCTGTTATGCCGGCACCTTATTTTCGCGCAAGCGCCACCGGGGACCTTCATCGCAGGTCCCCGGGGCATTCATCGGAAACTTCATGAATATCTCGGAATCCTCATGAATTTCCCGGCGTCCTCGCCAGAAACTTCATGTTGCCCGCCGAAAAATTCATAGTTTTCCCGGAAAGTTCATGAGAATCGCCGAAAAGTCATAACACTACAGAAAGGAAGTGAAACTTACTTGTAGGAGGAGGATCTGGACGACGGAGATCGATGACGAAAACAGAAACGATGTTACGACAAGAAGAACTTGGAGAGGATTTTGGCGGATATGAAGAGCAAATGTGAAAATGAGGAAGGCATCCCTCCTATTTATAAGCTTGACACGAGAAGTAAGGCAGCACTAGGCACTCAAGTTCCCGTACACGCAGCCACCCCTAAGCTTTAATTGCACGTAACACGTGGCACTAGGGGACACCACGAGCGTCCCTCCGGCTTCTCCTCGTGCATTTTCTTTTCCACCTCCCCGACATACTGCCTCGTCAAGCATCTGTCACTCCTGGCTGCGAACACAACCCTCAACTCTGTATGTCTAGCAAGCCACCATCCTCTAAATTGGTCCTCAACACCCTAACTCGCTCTTAAGTCACTACTCCTACACTTAGGAGCAACGACTTAGGGGACTCCTGTTCTGAACTGGGCCAAGACCTATCCCTTAGTCAGGCAGGCTCAACCCAATACTACGATGGGGAGGCCCAATAAGGCCCAATCCTCCCATGTCGGACACGCCTCTCAACAAGGCCCCTTAGTCGGGAAGACCACTACTTGGCGCGAGGGGAACCCATATGCTTTCCCCACGGGGGGCACGTCATCAGGCAACTATCCACTTTCGAAAGAGTTGGTCAGCCCACCTTCTGAAGATCACGGGGCAGTTGATCTAGGGGGAAGACCATGTGCTGGTCTTCCCTACGCCATGTAAGTCTTGACAGTTACTCGTATTGGGCCTTGCAATTCGTTCCAATGCAAAGTAATCATTGGCCACGCGCTAGGGGCACATTATAAATACCCTATTTCATTATAGGATTAGGTATTCTATTCTCTACACATATTCTCTTTGTACTTGCGCTTTCTAACTCCGTTACTCACTTAAGCATCATAGTACCTTGCAGGTACACCCCCTCATCCTCTACAATACCGGTGAACACAAGATCTCATGACGCGTGGTAGACTGTTGATTCCTTTCTGATCAGGTCAGTATTCTTTTCTGCTTTGGATTGTAAGACTTGTAGAGCATCTCCAATCAATGAATGTATATTGTAACACATTATGACTCTTAGTATATTTTGATGTATTCTTTCTTAGCATCTGGTTGTACAACCAAAGCAATGTTAATGGTGAATTGGATGTATCAAATACATTACAATGAAAAAAGAAATATCAAGATTAAAGCACTATTTTTTTGTTTTGATTCTGAACTTCTTAATTAGTTGACATAAAAGAAATAATTATGATTAAAAGGATGATATGCAAATTAAAATGGGAAAAGAACTTCATTTACTTAAAGGAATGATTACAAAATGATGTTTATAATATTAATCCTATTCATCCATATATTTTCTTGCATGGAAAGAGGTTTCTCATTCTAAATTCACTTATTCTTCTTTAAAAACGAAATGGACCACTTTTTTGAATCTTCTTCTCTTAGACTTATTTTTCTTCTTTTTAATCTTTTTCTGTGGGTTCAATATCTGAGGAAGAGAGGATGAAGGAATTTTTTTAGAGGATCTGACCCCCTGATCAGAAGCTTCCTCAGAGACTGTAGAGTCTCTGTAACAATAGGAGTAGCAGATTGTCCAGAAGGTGTATTCATCATGAATCAGAAGTATGCTAAAGTGAATATAGATTTGTGATTTTTCTTGAACAAAGTTGTGTGCTTTTATAACGAAAAATTTAGAAGTTCAAACACCTTGCGTGAGACAAATGAGTAAATTGATCCATATTTTGAATTCTTATTTTCTCTCTATTTCTCTCAATCCTAAATTGATTCTCTTCGCTTAAATAGGTAAAACAAATGAAAAATCATATTTGAGTTTTTTTTTTTTCATATAGAAAGGGAGTCCAAACCCAACATAGATCTCTCATTGATGTGTGAAAAATATATAAATATATTATTAAAATATCTTCATCATATACAATGACTTAGAGAAAACATAAAATTGTTATTGAATGCATTAGTTGGAGGTTCTATGAGAAAAAAGTCGAATACAAATTAAAACTGAAATATTTAATTGAGAATATTTGGTTAATGTTAATATTGTCTCCCACTTTATCTTGAGAATGTTTTACTAACACTTCTATACTACTTCTTGATCTCCTTTCACAACATCTACACATTCATTATCTGAAGAATATTTCACTATTAGGTACATCATAGATAAAAATACGTCTAAGAGTTGAATGCAAGGAGACTAATGATTATGTCGTGAAATGGTGGAGCGTTTACGACAATGTATCTTGATTTTGTGATCTTGACGTTCTCTCTCACTCTGAAAAAGATTCTAATAAATTATACCCCTACATTGGTACTTATTTGCTCGAAAAATCCATCAAAGAACCTTTAAAGGGTTACAAATGTTATAAATCTAGTTGGAATCTTTTAAAGGTGTCCTAGTAAAGGACTTCCGTTGAGACGTCGTGTTCTATTAGTACCCGCTTGACATCCTAATTGAATATTTATACACCACTTATCAAAGGGATTTTTGTGTGAATAAGGATAACATTTATGTCCCGATGTGAAAAGGTGACATTCAATAGAGAAGTTGAGTGAAGCTTTGAGGACAAGTCTAAAACATGCATGATCTAGTGGGCATATCTCTTACGCGAAAAGCTCGACTCGTCTTATCTCATCTAACTTCTTTTATGTCCTCTTCGTACATGGTAGGGGGTGTTAAATAAATCGAGATTATTAATACTATGTAAGCTTGAGTAATAATATAAAAGTCCAATAATAATTTCAAAATTTTCAACAAAGAGCTAATAGTTGTTAATGCATGAGGCACAAAGGATAGAAATAAGAAATGGTTGGCTGTTACTACCCGATACTACGCGCAACAGATTTGGACTCTCTGCTGCAGCTCTACGGTAACTGTGAAGAGTATTATATATACTAAAATGAAATTTCTCTTAGATCTCAAACATCTTCGCAATTGTTGTATCTTGCGTAGTAGTTTTTTTTTTCTTCCTCATTCAGTAAACATGAACCAACATACATAAGTCAATAAATGCAACATATAATTAATTTCTAATCCGTATTTAGTAAATTAAATTGAAAATGAATTAATAAAAGTATTGACTACTACTTTCCATCTAGGCTGCATAGCTGATAATGACATGAGTTGAGAAAAAAAACCATATTGTCTTCCCCTCACATCACATACAACTGCTTCAACTATTCAAACAAGTTGGTCTATAACAAGCTCAAACATGTTCACATTTTGCTCAAATTAAAATAGGACCAACTCAAAGACCAGAACCATTTAAACTAGAGCTCAAAAATATTTAATTTTATTATAAATATATAAAATGACATAAATTGCATATACTATTATACTAGTTGAATTTTTAAAAAGAGATATTATATATTTTTTGATATTGAGTTCAATTCTTAACTATTACAAAAGTTATTATTGCACAAACATATTTTAACTCCTAAATTCTTCATCCTTCTTAATAAAAATGTTTATATAATAACCTTAAGAATTAAATTATTATAATCATATATATTGTTTATTTTATTAACAGCATCATCATTATGACAATATTTTTTATTGCTTAATTAATAAAAAATTTATTCATATTTTTATGGTGGTGTTTGTTACATATTTTTTGCTGGAGTGAGAACTTGGTTGGCGTGAAACTCCTGACTCAATTAAATTAAATTAAATTAAATTAAGAGCAGTGTTTCTTGACCAATGAAAAAATTATTATATTTTCCGACGACATTGTTTATATGGGTTTAGGCGCATTTTTAGGGCTTCATGGGGTGCATGTTGTCTTAAATATTTTTAGAATGTAGGTTAAGTTGAATAATAATAATAAAAATAATAACATGTAATTGGACAAAGTTAAAAGAATCAATAAAATGAAAATTCCTATCTCAAAAAAAATCGAATACTAAAGTTATTATTTCTTGGGTAGATGATATAATAAAGATGAAACAATGCTTTCTATAAAATAAAAAATGAAACAATGAAGAACTAATGGAATGCTGTATTCCAAAACCTAGTGAGCAAAAGCAATATGAACATCCACAAATTCATTTTGCCTTGCACACTTTCTTTTTTAAAAAAATAAAAAAATAATTGCTAGAAAAATATAACTAAATCCAAATATAGAACCAAAGAGCTTCTAGTTTCATGAAAAAAAGCTACTGGTTATAGGCAGCACTGTTGAGGACATTAGGATTGTTGTTGTTGTTGCTGCTCGAAGAACCAGCCCCAATTATGGTGGAGATAGCGGCTGCGATTGCTGCGGTGAAGTTTGGATCGGCGGTGATGGCAGCACTGAGTGATGAAGCTTGTTGAGTTGAGTGCAATTGGGAAGAGCCTCCAACATCTTGAGACAGTTGAAGGCCAGAGAATTTGGATTGGTTATAAAGTGCTTGTGCAATCACTTGTGGTAATTGTCCTGATCCAAAGTTTTGAGGCTGTCCAAGGCGAAACTGGGAATGAGAATTTTGGTTGTTATTGTTATCTGTGCTGTCATGTGTAAGGTCTAGTGTGACAGTAGGAAATGGTGCTGTTGCTGAGAGTGTGGCCATGCTAGAAGAGCAATTAGGAAGAATTCTAGATAGTAAATTTGGGTTTACCACCCCATCAGCACTTGACATTGATCCAGATAGCAACATGGCGGCAGCAGCCGTGGTGGTCGTCGCCATTGGAATAGCAGCAGGTGGCAGTGGATGACTATGTGTCCCTTCATAGGTTGTTGTCAGAATTGTTTTGTCTTCAGCATAACGCTGAACCTATAATATATAACAATAATCATATTTTGATTGATTCATATAAACTTGGTCACATATTGATTGAGATTGATTCATCTGTGTAGTAAGACTCACTTGCTTGCGAACCGGGCAACCAACCGCCATTGTGCATCGGTAATACGCTCGAGGACAAGGGTTTCCCTTGGCCATTTTCTGTCCATACTTTCGCCATTGGCAGCCATCATTGATCTGCAAATTGTGACCAATTAATTCAGCTAGAATCAAACTAACCTAAATTTATTAATGTGCAATACCCTCTCTGTCCATACACATACTCATGTCACTATCAGGGTATGTGTATGTGCTGATGCTTCTTAGACAATAGTACATACCATGTGTGCTTCTGATCGGGCACGGACGGAGACGCGTGCTTTTCTCATAGTAGCTTCAGCAGCAGCTTGATCAGTGCCATTGTTGGGGTTTAATCTGGGAAGCTTATTTGGCTCCCAAACTTGTACCAGTTGATCTGCTGAATCTGGATCATGCTCTTTCTGATCAGTTTTATTGTTGCTCCGGGGCGATCTTGATCGCTTTCTTTCATCCGAAATAGGAGAATTCAATACTTTTGGATCAACTACTTCGGATGATGAACCACTCACAAACTTTCTACCAATCACAGCATCTCCACCCTCAGCTTTTCCATTCACAATCTTGAATAACAATATCAAAATCCATTAATCCATTCATCCATTCATCCATTAACAGTTAATCCGCACAATCAATTATTAATGAATTACCTCACTCTCCGCAGCTTCATTTCGTTGATTCTGTTGTATTAAGGAGACATAACGCATTTGCAAATCGCTTAGCTTTTCCTTGAGCCTTTGGTTCTCCACATTCTTAAGTCTAAGCTCTTCTTGCAACTGAAGATTCTTAGCATGTTTATTATCTCCACCGTTAATCGTAGATTCATCCTCCAAATCACTTCCAATATTAGTAATCAGAAGTTGTAAACCAGTCTACAATATTTTCATCAAATATTAGCATAGTTTTTACATGATAATAATAATAAATTTAATCTGTTAGGTGAAACCAACTATATATATGATTTTGAATGAAAATAAAAATAGGCTTACGTTGACATGGTCAGCATCGTTGAGATTGCAATGAGGATCATAAATCTGATTATTCTTGACGGAAAGATGATCATCCGGCGAGGACGATTTCTCCTTTCTATCGGAGAAAAAATCAACTTCGTCGACAATAACACGACTGCGATGATGATCATCGTGATCATGTTGATGATCATGATCTTGATCTTCGTCATGATCTTCAGACCAAGTGGTGATTAAACTCATTGGAAACTTCATCATGTTCAGTTCTCTTGAATTCATTATTGAGAAGATGTCATTGTAGTAAGAGCGATAGAAAGATGAATGGGATGATGAGAAAGGAAGAAAGAATGGGAAAAATATATAGAAGAAAAATGGAGAGGTGGAGAAGAAAGAAGAAGAGAGTGACGAAGTCAAAGAGAGAGAAAAGAAAAGAGAAGTGTATGGGTTATTATCAAGTCTCTGAAGTCTTCTACCCGCTGCAATTGCCACGCCTATAAAAAGGGTTTACATGGGGCAATATAAACCAAATGCATTTTTTTCTTTTTTTCTTTTATGTTTTTCTTATTATTTTTTATTTATTTAAATTACTTTTTTTTTCTGTTTACTTGGACACCCACAAGTTTCAACGATTCACTTATTTAGGACTCAGATCTCAACTTTCCACCTCATGTAGCTAATACTATTATTCAATTCAATTTGACTCTTTTTTTTGTGTGTACATAATTCATTTTGACTATGTCCTTCTTTGGACTCTTTTTTTTTTGGTAATAAATAAATACTTGGCCTCTTTCACATGGAGTCTTATTTTAAGTTCAAACTTCTGACCTTTAATTTAGCTACATACACATGTCATCCTATTGGAGCACTCTTGGGTTTGTGTTTATCTTGAAATAATCATCTCATTAACTATTTGATGACTTGTAAATTTATGTAGCCAAGTGTTTAGTAAGTCAGTTATAAAAATAGCCTGAAAATTTTTCGTTAATGTATCCGGATTACAATATAGATTAAATACATTAACATGTGTATGAATTAAAATTAAATTATTTTTCGTTTTGAAAAATATTACGTAATATTTGGCTTCCTTACCAACCAAAGAAAATACATTATTTAGTCTTTTATCTTATTTTCTATATTTTGATACATTGACTAGGAAGTGTTATTTAATACAAAAAGTTCTTCACCAAACACTGAACATATCCCATTTTAAAAGAAAAACATGTTGGTTGAACATTGACAGATGATACATGACTTGAAATTTTATTGCACTAGTTACCTTCTTAAACTTAAAATCAAATAACACAGAGGTAAATTACCTCTAAGGGAGCTCTTTTTTTATGCTTATAATTTTTCTAAATTTTAATTACGGATTGTCAAACTTGAATCTTTATATCAACTTGTTTTGCACTAGTTGATTGTGTTCGAACTTATGTCATTTGATAATTGTTCACCTTAATAATATTAATTTAGTTTGAACGAGTCATGCGAATTTACTTGTCTACCGTACCAATTTTAATATATTTTGCATTTTAAAACATTATTTAAATTATCTTATAGGAGTAGATTATCAATTAATATCAAATTTATATGTTGCTATAAAGATTGTAAGTGTTTGTTGTATGCGTTTGATGTAAATTAGTAATTGAATCTTCTTGTAAGGTAGGACATGAATCAGTTGGGTGTTTAGGAGAATTGCAAATACTACATAACTATTTTGTTTGAGTCTTACTTGATGTTAATTGTTTAACAAGCGAAGTAAGCTCATCAAGTGTTGATTGATTAAAATTAGTAAGTGTACCAATCTCATCGAAGTAATAAAATAATTCGTCTCCACTATTGAAACAAGGAAATAACTGTGCGATTTAAAGTAAGTAATAAGGGTTTTTTAATGATGATCTGGTTCGAAAACGTGAACGAGAAATTTTTTGAAGTAACGTTTGATAGAAAAAACGATTAGATCTTTTATTTTGAATTCCTTAATTATACCTAAATAACAAGGGTTTTCTTTAATTGATTCATTATACCACAATGAGACACCACACTACTACAGAAATGATTTTTGACAGCGCATGAAAAGACAACGCTTTTTGAAAAAACGCTGCTAAAGAGTTAGGAAAAAAAAAAGAAAAAAAATAGTAGACTTTAGACAACGCTTTTAGAAAAGCGCTGCTAAAGGTGCCACCTACGAAAGTGCTTTATAAAAAGCGCTGCTAAAAGTAGGCCCTATGAAAGCGCTTTTAGGAAGCGCTGCTAAAGGGGTCACCTACGAGAGCGCTTTCAGAAAGCGCTGTTAAATGGGTCATTCTAAGAAAGCGCTTTTATAAAAGCGCTGCTATAGGTGGTACAAAAGACAACACTTTCATAAAAGCGATGCTATAGGTCCTGCCTTATCAGATCTTAGAGAGCGTTTTTATAAAGCGCTGCTAAAGGCCTTGCAAAAGCGCTGTTGTAGGTTTAAGTGGCATAAACTTAAAAAAAAACCCAGAAAAACTCAAAAACAGAAACAGTCGTGGTTTTTGGTATTCTTACGCTCGCAATCCAGAAAAACTCAGAAACAGAAACACTCTTCCATTTCTGCCTTCGTTTTCGTCTGTTTTTGGCATTCTTCCATTTCGTTCATCGCCGTTTTCCATTTCCGCCTCCGTCCGTCTGTTTTTGGCATTCTTCCATCTTCGTCCTCCACCCATTCTGTACGAAATCTACAGGTTTGCTTCGAACCAATCTCGCAATGTTGTTATTTGTTTCATACTGTATTTTGCTGCAATGGTATATGTAATGGATTTGTTTTCTTACTGAGTTTGCTTTTGAAAATTTCAGCAATGATGAGTAAAATATATATAAGTGTTGCATTATGTTGTTGTTTGTTCTTGGTGGCATGACAAGGTGGTTTGGTTTTGACTAATACGAGTGTTGAGTAGTTGTTTCGGTTTTGATACAAGATTAACATTTTGTTTTGGTTTGATATTGTTTCCACTATTTTGATACAACTTTGATATTGTCCAATGCCATGCCATGTAGAAATTTTTTAAAGAGTTAACAAAGTTAGAAATTCTATTAAAGTTAGTTGTTAGGATGCAATTAAATTGAATTAGAGGTTAGTGAAGTATTAGTTGTGAATCCAATGATGTGTTATAATTCTGTCAACACATTAACCTCTTATATCATATAGTGTCCATTTCCAATCATTGCAAGATGTGAGTGGAGTTCATGATCTTTGGCAGTTTGTTTAATGAAATCACACGATGGAATCATAAGATGTGAGTGGGATATTTGTGCTTTGTTAAGTTGCTTGTTAACTTGGTCTAGATGCTAGAGTACAATTCATCATTTATGAAATCACATGATGGAAAAACCAATTCATTTGATAATTTGGTTTTTCTTAATTACAGGTATTATGGCCACCAACGAGGAAAAATCACATGATGGAAACGAAACAACAAAAGACGTGGAAGGCGAAATTAAAAGAGGAATAACGATTATGAAAAAAATCATCCGTGCGAGAGATAAAGGTGTAAAGTATGATGTGCATTGGAATGAAAGAGATCAATTAATTGAGCCTAACGGTATGATGCTAACAAGTTACATTGGAGTACTTGTTCATTCACAAATTCCAATTACTTGTGATAATTAGAGAATTCCTTCGTTACAACCGGCTAAAGACAAAATTTGGAGCGAGATACAGGTATGATATTTGATATTTTTTAATTATGTCGACAGTTACATCTTTAAATTAATTATACTAACATGTTATATGTATGTTTATTTGTTTGCAGAGATCTTTTAATATTGATGATTGCAGGAGAAAATATTGTCTTTAATTGGCGGGAAAACGACTGAGAGGATTTAGAGCGTTTTTAACGAACAAGTTTCTTAAAGATTCTGATGGAAACTTTGTCGAATCGGAGCGTCCAAAGAAGTACGCTGATCTGATTTCAGATGAAGAATATTCCTGGAAGTCGTATGTATTTGTAAAGTTATCGGTTTTGTAATTATATGTAAATTGACTGTATTTGTGAAGTTGTTCTGAGGATCGACTTGTGTTGAATTATATATAAGCAGGTTTATGTGAATTACAATGATTATATGTAAAGTAACTGTAATTGTTATAAGCAGGTTTATCGAAAAATATATTAAAAAAGTGATTATTTAAAAAAAAATTTATAAACGTGAAGAATAGACAGCGCTTTTAAGTAAAAGCGCTGCTAAAGGGTGGGTGAAGGGGGAAGAATAGACAGCGCTTTTGAAAAGCGCTGCTAAAGGGGGGGGGGGAAGCGCTGCTAAAAGTGTTGCTAAAGGGGGCCTATAGCAGCGCTTTATCCATAAAAAAGCGTTGCCTTTACCTTTAGCAGCGCCACTTTAGGCAGCGCTTTTAAACGCTGCTAAAGGCCAAAAAAAGCGCTGCTAAAGGTCTTATTTGGCATAGTGTCAACACGACCACACTGGATTAATCGCGCGCACGTGAATTCCATTAATAATTCCTTCTTTCTCCTTCACTTTTTTTTCATGTTTGCTCTTTTTCACTTCTTTATTTTTACTTTTTGCATCAAGACTTCTTCTCTACCAACATACTAAAAGATTAACAAAATATTAAATAAAATAAAACCACAATAAAATAAACTACATAAAATTTAAATTGTGATGACAATATAATTTGATGGGCTGCCTCCCATTAAACACTTTTTTAAGTTCATTAACTTAACTCTTTCGTCTAAGACTCTATGAGCATCAGAGACACCTTCTTCGATGCTTTTTCACTTCCTGAGTAGATATTTAATCTCTTTCCTTTCCTAGTAAAAACTCGTGAATCTCCTAGATCTTTTAATTCTATTGAACCGCCTGCAACAACTTTGTAACAACAGAGGGGTCAGATTCCCTAGAATTCCACTTACAATAAAACCTTTTGTCCAACCTGAATTCTTTTCTTACCAACTTGTTTCCCTGACACCCTTTAGATATCTTTTTCGTTATGTTTACCTGGTAACGTTGAGGGTTTTCTTTATGGTATTTCATTGCTTCAAAAGCATTGAAGGAAACTTTTTCCTTGTTAAACCTCAATGTTAACTCACCCAATTCAACATCAATGAGAATCTTGTCGGTTGTTAGGAATGGTTTTCCCAAACATAATGGTGTCTCAGTATCTTCAAACATGTCAAGAATTATGAAATCATCTAAGAATAATAACTCATCAATCCTAACAAGGACATCTTCAAGAACTCCATAGGGGTACATGATAGAGTGATCAACTAGTGTCAAGGTCATTTGAGCTGGCTTTAGTTTGC